AGATACAATGGCAACATACAGAAAAATTGGAGAGTATGACCTGGAGGCTGATGACTGGCAGCAGTATGAGGAACGGCTGGGATTCTACTTTGCTGCAAATAAAATCACCGACGGCGGACAAATTGTGCATGTGGAGGGCAAACTTACGCCACACTGAGAGACTTGTGTCAACCTGGTAAACCGGGATATAAATCCCTGACAGATTTACTCAAACAGTTGACTGACCACTATGCACCGAATTGCAGCATTATCGTGGAGAGATTTAAGTTCCATTCAAAAGTTAGAGATCACAGGCAGTCAGCTGCTGCATTTGTAGCCAAACTTAGGAGACTTTTTGAACACTGCACTTTTGGGACATCTTTGGATGACATGCTAAGAGATAGACTGGTGTGCCATATTAATGACGATGGCATCCAATGCCAGTTGCTTTCAGAACCAGAACCACAAAATTGACCTGGGAGAGGGCACTGGAATTAGCGACAGCCATGGAAACCCCCATGAAAGATGTAGCACAGTTGCAGCAGAAAACAGAAGGCCTAGAGGAGGCGGTGCGACCAGAAGATGCATATGATGTGCTTTAGATGCGAAGGAACGCGCACGGCAACAAAAAATGTGAAAGGACATTTGGCTAGAAAATGCAGTAGTGGGAGACAGCCCAATAAGAACAGATTTAGCACACGAGGGGCAGCTTATATGTTAGAGGAAAAAACGATGAAAAGCCAGAATACACTCACTTGCTGCACAATTTGAGAGAGAAGAAATTGGAGCCATACAGACAACAACTTTCCATTAATGGGCATGACATCACATTTGAAATTGACACGGGGGCAGGCTTGACAATACTGAATGACAGAACATACAGGCAGATAGGGTGTGGAGGACTTCATCCTGCAAAGACAAAACTGTACACCTACACCAGAGATTTGGTGGATGTGCTAGGAAAGAGGCATGCAAATGTCATTTACAAAGGACAGACGAAGCAGTTGCCTTTATTGGTGGTTAGAGGTGACGGCCAAACCTAACAGGGAGAGATTGGCTTAAGGCAGTGAGACTAGATTGGACAGCCATATTCAAATTCCAAGTAGGACAGCAGCAATAGTTAGAGGCTCTGCTGTCACTACACCAAGAGGTGTTCAATGGTGAATTAGGTACACTAGTGTGGGCTTAAGCTAAAATCTATGTTGCTTCGTTACTTTAAGGCTAGGCCCTTGCCATATGCGCTCAAAGAAAAAGTTGAAACTGAACTACAGAATGAAGGGATCTTGGAGCCTGTTAGTTTTGTTGAGTGGGCAACCCCAATAGTCCCCGTAGTCAAACCACACAAAAGCATAAGGATATGAGGTGACTATAAAGTTACAGTGAATCCAGTGTCAAAACTGGATAACTACCCAATTCCAAAGACAGAATACTTGCTGGCAGTGCTGGGAGGAGGGCACAAGCTCCCCAAACTGGATATGTCTCAGGCTTACCAGCAGCTACCACTGGAGGAACGTTCCAAGAGATTCACAACAATAAACACACATCGTGGATTGTATCAGTACACCAGGCTGCCCTGTGGGGTGTCCTCAGCCCCAGGCATTTTTCAGCACACTATGGACAATTTACTTCAGGGGCTTCCTCAGGTGATGGTGCGAGTAGACGACATACTTGTGACGGGGAAGGACGCTGCCAGCCATCTGCAGAATTTAGGGACAGTACTGTCCAGACTGAATGCAGCAGGACTCCGCCTTAAGCGAGAGAAATGCATTTTCATGGTGCCAGAGGTGGTGTATCTGGGCTACAGAATAAATCATGCAGGGATTCAGCCAGTGACAGACAAAGTTGAGGCCATTGCAAATGCAGGTACACCAACAAACCAGACACAGCTGAAGTCTTTCCTGAGGATGCTGAACTATTACTAGATAGGCATTTTATATAGGGCCACTGGGGGTCCTCAGGGTATTAGATAGCAGGTATGCTGCCAGTGTGTGTAATGAGTGATGCAGCAAGTGTTCAATAAAGTGGAACCTGTGAAGTTGACTAAGTGGCATTTTATTACACTATGACAGAAAAAATGTGATTGACAGATGACATATGATTGGCCGAATTTAGGTGTACAGGCTGACGTATAACTAAGTGGCCTGAATAAAATAACAAAAAAAACCCATGTGAACTGTCCCATCTCTACAATATCCCCATTAAAGAAAGCCTTAATTAGTTAGGAATAACGCTAAACAAAAAATAGAACACTAGATGAGGACTTAACTTTAGCCCAATTTTAGAAAAAACAAAGAAAAGATTTAACTCATGGCCCCAAAGAGACTTATCCATTCGGGGAAGAATATTACTTTGTAAAACTGAAGGAATCTAGACTAACCTATGCAGCTGTTTCTCTGGCTGTCGACCTAAAGATTTGCAAAGAAATTGATCCGACATTATGCAACTTTATTTGGAAAAACAAAACTCACTATATAAAGAAATCTGTTTTAAGGAATACTTATGATGCAGGAGGTCTTAACTTTCCCGAAAATTAACAATACATTCAAAGTGAACTGGATTAAAATTTGCCTTAAAAATCATACCTCAATCTGGAATTTTATATTTTATTCCTCACCATGTTCTCTAAAATAGATGGTCTTAAGTTTGTTTTGCTATGTAATTATAACATATAAACAAGCCCTTTTGTCCTGGTCACTGATTATCAAACATCATTTTTCTCCTAATAAGTAGTGTCTTTGGAATAATAAAGATATCTGCTATAAGAAAATATCTGTTTTTTGAAAAAGGGTTTAGGAAAGTAAGTCAACTTTTCAATGAAAAAGGAAACCTCTTTAATTATCAAGCATTTTTATGCCATTTTAAGATTCCTATGAGCCCAAAACAGTTTGCTATTGTTTTTGATGTTATTCCACCAGGTGTTATAATACTATTTAAAGGTCAGACTTCTCTGTTCTCAGAAGGCCCGAGACTTCTAACTGATCCAACTGATACTTATGTAGGTAGACTGTGTTTTCAACCAAATTCTTCTAAAAATAACAAACATATTCACACTTTATTCCAAGATAAATGCATCTCAGTTCCTTATGTAATTCCAGTCTGGTCTGGTCTGGTCTCAGAAGTATTTTGGAACAAAACATGGTCTCTACCCAATAAGTATTTTCTAGTAAACAAAGTTATAGAGGTTTCCTTTAAGATTATTCACCGCTGTTACCCTGGTAAGTCATTATTTATTAAATATTAAAAGGATATTGATACCACCTGCACCTTCTGTAACAGTTACTCTGAGTCTGTCTCTCACCTGTTTTGGTCCTTGTCCTTGTCCTAGCTTTATTCTTAACACTATTTACGACAAATTCGAACTTTATTTTAAGGATGTTTTATTTGGGATTACAGAATATAGAAAAGAACTCTCTGACCATCTCTTTTCATGTAATCTTTTGCTTCTGTTGGCCAAATTTTATATCCATAAATGTTAAATTACTATGACTAAAACCTCATGTATCTCTTTTTTGAAGGAAGCAACAATTTATTTCTCTACGTTATCCTCTTCCAATAACAAAAAGGCTGTTAAAACTTTATCTTTTTTGTTTTAATTTCAAATTTTTGTTTCATTCCCTTATTTTGTTTTTTTTTTTCTTTTTTTTGGTTTTCTTTATTCCTTTTCTTTTTTTTTTTTTTTTTTTTTGTTTTTTTTTATTTCTTTTTTCTTTTTTTTTTTCGGCCCTTGGGGTTTTTTTTTGAAAATTGTACTTAAATCTTCATGTAGTACAAAAATTCTTTACTAAAGCTTAAAAAAAGTCAAATTAATGCTGCTTGACACTTTTAGAGACAATTGACAATTAGAGGTTTGGACTGCAGAAGAATATATTTATTTATAAAGTTATGTATACAAATAAAATGTGGGGGGAAAAAATAAAAACGAGGAGTAAGTGAAGAGCCATTAAAGAGTACCAATGTGGACAGGTATATATAATTTGATGTCAATCTCTAAAGAATCCCTTTTATTTAAACTCAGACCTTTATTAATTGCTAAACATCAGTTAAACATTCAGAAAGTTCTGGAATATTTTCAGATGCATGGATCACAGTTAATGGTTTTCATTTAAAGACAGTTGGGTCTATTTAAAAAAAAAAAAAAAAGAACTGGAGTTGTGACAGGCAGCCCGGGCCACAGGCGGCTACACTCTACCCCTTATATTTATTCGGCGAGCTAATCTGAATCCTTCAATTCCATTTTGAGAGCGAGATCATCTGTGGTAGTAACACTAGACATCTTCCAGGCATGTGAGTAAAACTAGCAGCAGTTCAGCAGACAAAAAGAATGAGCAGTATCCGGCGTGCGTGGATGACGTCATACACACTCCGCTTTGTTTTAAAAAAATATAAATATAAAAATATAACCGCGGATGTCTGGGGGACAGTGATCCGCCTACATGTTAT